CCGTTAATACTAAATCGAACTTTTAGAAGCTTATGCCATTTTATTCCGGACACTTTACTCTATATATACTGCTAAGATCTCTTTTCTGTCCTATTTCATTAGTGTACAGTAAGCAAAACACTTTGTTTTTCGGTTCTTTTTCCCTTCTTTTCTTAGTGGTTCCTGCACGTTCTTTTTTGTTAATTAACATTTTTCTTTTCTTAAGAGGCAGTGGAACAAAATCTTTTTGCTTTTTGTGCAGTATTTTACCTGCTCTATCAATCTATAGTCTCAGTTTTGCCTAATCTCTTTTAGTTTCTGTGAAAACTTCGATGAAATTTCTGGTCCTTGAAAAGTTCAAAAATCGTGTCCCACCCCCTTTTGAGTCTGCTGCGCAGCCAATAAGCACTTTAAGTCAAATATTTTTCTATGAAAGGATTTACCAAAGTAGGCACTATAGATTGTTGAAAACCGCAAGTTGCTAGCTTTTTTCGTTTTTTCGTAATTGACATTTTACTGACGCCCAGTGGCTTGTGACATACAATTTGTCCCACCCCTTTTGACTCTCCCCTGACCGAACTACATGGAATTGAGTACTCGTTTTTTTACCATATATGTCAAATGGGTAGCACAAGTTATGCTGTAAATAGCAAGGCTTCAGCTTCTTTCTAAAGGAAGAAATTTGAAAAATACATCAAAATGTCCCACCCCTAACTTTTGTCCCACCCCCAAACATACCTCTAGAATTGTTTTGGCTAGTACATAAAGCCTCATATTTTACGATTATACGTATTTTGACACCCTGAATTGAATGGTCGGCTCAGTTTTTTGAAAACCAGCTCAGCAAAGGATTTCCAGAAAACCTGGATTTCTAGAGGTCCAGGCTTAGAAATTGTCAAAAATCATTTTTTAAGGATGCCAGTTGATAAAGCATATGTGAAAACCCATGTTTCAATACATTTTAAAGCTAAATTATAATTCTTTAACAGGAAAGCAGAGAAAATCGCATTTTCGATCCTAAGTCAAAAAGTGAACAATCACGATTTTGGCTAAGAAGGACTTGGTAGTTTGGAAACAGAGTTTTTTATAGACTTTCGAGTACTCTCTATAAACCTACAAATGTTAAAATATTTTTCTGGTCACTTTCATTTTGGGTGACCAGAAATCTTTTGTGGAGACTCTTTTACAGAGAACTCGGACTTTTAGAAAATCACTAAATTTTCTAGTAGTCTTTTAAGTTTAGAATATTAGTTTAGAATATTTGTAGATGATGTGGAGAAACTTCCAGACTTCTTCCCGTGGTTTTTGTTTTATTCAGTTTCAGATTATACTTTCTGTCATTTGGAATGGCTCCAAAGAAAGGTGATAGTAAAAGTAAGAAGAGAATTCAGGAAAGACAAAAAGATGATCGAAAGAAAATGAAACGAAGAACATCCAAGAATTACAATTTGAAAATTAGAGAACGAGATCGGACACGGAAAGCAAGACAAAGATTAAATTCAAAAACACCACGAGAGCAACCATTATCAGATAGAGTCACAGCTAGACGAAAAGAAGGTGTACGTCGACGTCGAGCCTATGTAACGCAGCTTCGTCGTCGTATTGAACAGTTAATAAAATTATCGTATGTACACAGAATTCAAGTTAAACGTCTACGATGTCAGTTACTGAAACAAAAACAAAAGATTGAACATTTAACGAATTTATTAAAATCAAACTATAAAATTTCTAGTAACTCTTCTGTTACTGATACTGATGAAACAATGAATACTGATGGTAATGTTACAAAAAATATTACGGTAAAAGTTTGTTGGCATATCAAGTGATACAAGTATATCAGTACGTGCTAACTTCTTTCTTTAAACAGCTTTCTCTCTTTTGTTCATTCATTTGTTTATTTGTTGGCATAAAGGACAGTTAAGAAGAACAATCACTGTATTATTTGGATTCAAAAAAGAATGAAAAGAAATTACAATATTCTTTTATATAATATAGAGTCAAGAAATTTGGCGGTGACAGAAATTGAATCAAATTCCGATGTTCTATAATATTATGTCTCTGTGAGTTTTCTAGAAAAGCTTTCAAAAACTTCTAAAAATCTGCCTTAGCACCATTTTGTGTTTAGAAATCAATGATAAAAATTCCAGTTAACTGCTCGTCTACATTTTGTAATGTCTGCCAAAGATGACAAAAAATACCGAAAAAGTCTTCCAGAAATCCGGGATCTCGCGAAACCAGGCAAGAAAACATTTCTGTACTGTTTCTGAATAAGGCATTTCCCTTGAAACCTATAAAATCATGTTATCTTGGCACTATCGTCTTTGTTACATTCAAATAAGATAAAAGATCCTTTAACTCTTTGTACACCAGACACACTAATTAGCGTATAATCATTAACTCAAAGATGATAAAAGCTAGAGACCAGCGGTTTTCACCGATGAGAAGAGGACAGTTTAGCCTATGTTTTCATAAGCAAAACAGTTTTCCGAAAGCATTCGAAAGATCGGTTTTCTAGGGGATCTTTTGAAAGCAAGTCCGGATCTTCAGAAACTGAGATACCAATCTATCAGTTTTTTTTCATAGGTAAATAGTCCAATGTGTCCTCTCGAAAATGAAAACTAAGCGAACTCTTAATTTTTCTTGCTTCGGGTGTGGCATCGGATTTTCTGAGAGCCCCTGGATCGATATCTCCTTAGGTGTGGTAATTCTGAAAACGAACGGAAACATAGGTAATCGACCACGCTGAATCTCGTGGCAACATTTATTTTTCAATTAAGTTTCCAAACTCTTGTGAAAACCTATATTAGGTGAAATAACCCCCCCCCCTTTTACCTATTTTTGAGCAAAATTAAAGAATTCATAACCCAATGAAGATCCACCCAAATTATGTCAGAATAACAAGATGTACTCTATTTTAACCTGGTAAAAGAGGAAAAAACGTCGAGTTAGGATTAGAATATTGATCGTTTCTAAAAGTCATGCAGGTCTAAGATGACTCGCGTGTGATACATAAAACAGCCTCTTTGCTAACTAAAAGGAAGGTATATTCAGATAAATTCACACTTTTGTATACTAATCTTGATTGCAAAATCATAAAATTTTCTTTCTTCACATAACATATGCTATAATTAATACGATTTAATGACTATATACTATTTAATACAATTAATGTCGGTATAACTGACAATAAGGCTATACGTATAAGGAAAAATATAGCCGAATGTTATCAAAAAAAGTTCCGATTATCAAACAGCTAAAGAGTTTTATATGATAGCTTTACAATTTCCAATAATATTTTTCTTTATTCCCCGTGCGAAACTTTCTTGTTGCCAAGTCTTTTTTAAGGTGTGTAGTTGTTGAAAAGAAATATGCATCTTTCATAATCTCTGTTGCTAGAGATGAAAACATATATGAAAGTAATCTCAGTGTGTTTCCTTTGTATTCATTACAGATCTTTTGATTACTCAGCATGACGACAGAAATACAACTAAACAATGCCTGTTTTCTGGACAAAAGTGCGTCATTTTTCTTATGTTGTCTAACTTGTCGCCTTTCGGATAAAAGACAGCTTATCTTTTAGCAGAACGAAAACAAGCTAAAAGTCTCAGCTTTTCGTCTGTTTCCGTTGCTGAGTTATTGAATTTTTTCAGTCCTCCATAAGTTTGCTCTTGAAAAAGCTCAAGTGAAAGGGCTATAAAATCGTTAATTCGTTATTCGAACTATTGATGCTTGAAAACTGAAATTCTTTCGACCGGAACACAGCCTTTGAGATTACATACTTTTGATTTTCTATAACTCAAGTTTTTAAGGGAGTCTCTGGAAACTGTTGACTCCATGATCAGCTCAAAAGTAATTTTTTTGTTTCCGAATAGAGATAAGACATTAAAATCAACTTTGTTTGAGAGTTTCAATTGCTCTGGTAAAAAATTAACAAATTTACAGCTTCCATTGTGAGAGAGAATAGGCCGAACCTATGGATAATCTAGAAAGTTCAATAACTCAGGAGTGGAAGGAGATGAAGAACTGAAATTTTTAGGTAGGTCAATAAAGTATTAGTTAGACTGCAAAAAAATTTCAGCCTTCCACTATATATGCATTTAATGCGGCTATATGCATTTAAAATCTTTACTTTTTTAAACCCTGTTGAGCTTTGACGAGGAAACCTCGCAAAGTGACACACTCTCCATTTTCAATGAATTAAGAATCGACGGACGGAGGATGATGAGCCACTGAAAATTCTAAACGGACTTCGATTCATGTCGCTTTTTTTAAAGTTATGAAGATTTTTTATGTTTTTCCTTAGAGAAACTCAGAAAAATGCGATTTCGTGTGTTTGTTTAGACACTAGTGGTAGGCTGAAATTTTTTTGCAGTCTAACTAATACTTTATTGACCTACCTAAAAATTTCAGTTCTTCATCTCCTTCCACTCCTGAGTTATTGACCTTTCTAAACTAGAAAATCAAAAGTATGTAATCTCAAAGGCTGTGTTCCGGTCGAAAGAATTTCAGTTTTCAAGCATTAATAGTTCGAATAACGAATTAACGATTTTATAGCCCTTTCACTTGAGCTTTTTCAAGAGCAAACTTATGGAGGACTGAAAAAATTCAATAACTCAGCAACGGAAACAGACGAAATGCTGAGACGTTTAGCAGTAGATGAGTTAAATTGCACAAAAATTTTCAGCCTTCCATTACGTGTCTAAACAGACATACGAAATCTCATTTTTCTGAGTTTCTCTAAGGAAAAATATGAAAAATCTTCGTAACTTTAAAAAAAGCGACATGGATCGAAGTCCGTTAGAATTTTCACTGGCTTATCATCCTCCGTCGATACTTAACTCATTGAAAATGGGGTGTGTCAGTTCAAGAGGTTCCTTCGTAAACGAAAACAATTTTAGTAGAAATAAGAGCCGATTTCTCAGTCTTTGAAAATAACGTTGATTATTTCATGAAAAAAATTTATCTTGAATTAATTCAAGTTGTTGTCTGTGTTGATAAAAATATTGATTCAATTGTTTTAGTAACATTTTTTTCAATACATTCAATTAATGTTCATCTGTATGATGATCTGTCAGACATTCTTTTATGACATTGATTGATAAGCAGTTCCAATTGTACCATATTCTCTATCCGAAATAATTTTAGTTGCTCTCTCAAATAATTTTAAAACATTTTGAATTGTTTCCAGCAAAGACCATTCGTCTGGTGTCATATCCAAATTTCCAAGTCTTGTCCGTTGTTCAGGTTTAATTTGCAAATCATTTTTGTCATTATGAAGTGCAATGATTAGATTCTTTATCATTAAAATGTTTCCATCATATAAAAACTTGAATTCCATCTGTTCTTTACACCTAATGGTAATGGTCTTTTTATTCCAAATTATATTTTTGCTTTTGAAACATAGCTTGATAGAACTGGTGATCTGAATTATCCAGAAATAGCGAGCTTTAGCTGTAGTTAAGGTTCATACAATGGCATATCAAAGGCCATCTATCCAATCAGTGGACTCTATAACTCAAACAGCTAGTTACTCCGTGAAATGGGATGGCTAGATGGGAATATAACTACCCACTGAAAAAAATAATCAAAATTCATGCAGGATCCCGCGGGTCATCAGTATTAAAATATCTGGCAATGTTTCTTACCTTTACGCAGGATTTTTATACTGCCAGCCCTGACAGAACCCTGCATAGTTTATGTAGGGTCAGCATGGAAAAAATCCTGCCTAAAGGTAAGAAACATCGCAAGACGTTTTGACTTATTCAATCCACAAGTTTTTTCCTACGAGATCTGCAGAATTTTGTTGGTTGAAAGAAAAAGGATTTTGTTCTCCATGTCTATCCCGCGGTATCCAGCAATCTTTTCTCACCAATGTCTGTCAGGATGACCGTGGAGGAAGTTGTCTGTATTTTTTTTTTGGAAAGTTAAGTACTTTTTTTTTATAAAGTTATAAAAAATTTTCTCGTGTTCAATAAACTTTTAGAAAAGGTATACCTTAATATTCTGACTTTAACACGCATTTTCATGCGTACAAAACCAAACTATTAATAGATAGTTGAAAAGATCTTTTTTATGTCAGGAACATTCTATTTTTTTCCATCAATAAGAAATTAAAGTCATTAGAATGATCACGCTACTGTAAAAAAAAGATGTATAGCAAAACAGAGATATCACACTATTCTAAATTTCTTCAGCTTTGAATGGTATCTTCTCGGGAATAAATGAGAAAAGAGCACGGAAAAAACACACTTTGGATCACGGTCGACTAAATTGTGGAAAAAAACCGGAAAAGATCACGGTTACGAAAAATAATTTTTTTTATTTTAAAATCATGGAAAAGATCACGGAAAAAAGCATGAATAGATCACGGTTT